CTGCCGGGTTTCTCACGACGGCTGCTTCGCTAAAAGTAAACACAGCTGATCCGTCTAAGCGCGATACTGTGTTATAACTACGGTAATTTCTCAGCGATAGAATATTTGCTATTGCTGAGCGCGCGATAATCCGCGATAAAATACTTTAATCACAAATATACGAGAGTGCAATTCACCTGATTAAGGGCTTCGCTAGTTGTCGTCCGCTGCGTCCTCGCTCCTCGATGTCCTCCGCTCCTCGATGTCCTCCGCTCCTCGTCCTGGTGGCCGGCAAGGGACGCCGAGGGGCACAAAATTCGGGACGCGCTGACCTTCGCATCTGCTCCGCTCGCAAAAATCGTTTCTTCGCTTTGTTCTAAGACCTTTACAATAAACATTCGACGGAACGCGATATTCGGAAAGGTCTCGAAAAACCGTTAGCGACGCGACACGCGAAAAACATTCTCGCTAATTCGGTACGGGATTCTTGAGACGGGCGCCTCCACGGCTGGCATGTCACAATATATATATATATATATATATATATATCAGTGTGCATTACGTAACGTAATATACCTACTTTCTCAGAGAGCTGCTCACCAATAAAACAATATATAAATATGTTGAAAACCAATGATAACACTGCAATAAAATACATACACATAGCAAAAGTATTGCTGTTCTCCCATTCCTGCATAAGTAAATTACATTATTTATCATTATAATATCGTCATATACACGTGGATATATTCTACTTAATGATTTTTACATACCATTATTACGCAATATATTAGGAGACATATTATGGAAGTACACGTCATGAGTTCTACAAAACTCGAAAAATATATAACGCCTTGCACCATATTCAAAAAACTGGAAGCCATTGTAAGGCAAATATAAGTCTTGTTCTCCGAAAATTATCAAATATACACAAACAATACACAAAATGAAAAAATATACACAAAAGAATATTAATGCTAAAATTTTATATAATACACCACTGCAGTTGATACGATAATAACAACAAATATATATACAGCAAATAAAATGCAGTTACTAACACAACTGAGATAAAATGTACGTGTTCATGCATGCAGAAACAAATGGTTATTACTTTCGCGTTTTTATTTGATGTTGTACGATGACAGATAACTTCTTGTCCGCATCCTTAAGTTCATGTTCGATTGTTAGGTTGTT